GCTGGAGTCTTGTGAAGAGGTAACAAACTCGATGAGGGAGCAGTGTTGATGTGGTGCACATGGATTTCCAGAAGACTTTTGATACAGTGCCACGCAACAGACCTGTGAGGAAGGTTATAGGTCATGGTATAAGAGAGACAGTAACAACGTGGATACAAAATTAGCTGAGTGATAGGAAGCAGAAAGTAATGGCCAATGGATATTTTTCAGCTGCAGGAATGTTTGTAGTAGAGTTCCCCAAAGGTCAACATTGGGACCTTTCCTTTTCCTGATTTATATTAATGATCTAGATTTTGGTGTACAGGCGACAATTTCAAAGTTTGCAGATGACACTAAACTTGGAAGAGTTGTAAACTATGAGGAGGACAGTGTGGAACTCAAAAAATACATTGACAAGTTATTGGAGTGGGTGGATGGGTGGCACTTGAGATTCAATGCAGAGAAGTGTGAGGCACTTTGGTACGAAAAAAACTGAAAGACAATATAAAATAGGAGTACAATTCTAAAGGAAGTGCAGGAACAGAGGGACCTGGGTGTATATGTGTATAGATTATTGAAGGTGGCAGGACAGATGGAGAGAGCCATTAATAAAGCATTCAGTATCCTTGACTTTATTAGAAGAGCAAATACCAGAAGAGCAAGGAGGTGACGTTGAACTTGCATATGACACATGTTAAACCACAGTTGGAGTATTGTGTACAGTTGTGGGTGCCACATTTAAGAAAAGATTTGAATGCGTTGCAGCTTCTGCAGAAGCAATTTACAAGTATGCTTCCAGGAATGAGTAACCAGTTACGAGGATAGATTGAAGAAGTTAGGACTATTCTCCTTGTAGAAAAGGCAGGTGAGAGACAATTTAGTCAAGGCTGTCAAAATAGAAGGCAAGATAGAGTGGATAGGTAGAAGTTCTTCCCACTCAAAGAAAGAACAAGAATGAGAAGCTGGTTGTTTAAAGTGATGTACAAAAGAAGCAACGGTAATGTGAGAAAAGAAACCTGTTCACTGAGCTAGTAATTAGAGTAGGAAATACACTGCCTGGTAGTGTGTTGGAGGCAGGTTCAGTTGAGGCTTTCAAGAGGTGATTGAGTGAATATTTGGATGGAAATAGTTTGTAGGGGTATGGGGAAAAAGCAGGAGATTGGCACTACGTAATGATGCTCATTCAAAGAGTCGATAACAGACATGATGAGCCGAATGGTAAAACAATTCTGTGATTTATTGGGTTTCAAGATCATTGAATTTGGTGACTCTTTCCAGATGGTTGACAAGGTTCTTAGCAAGATTTTACCAGCAACAAATAGGAATCAAATGCTACAGTGTTTCCACTGTTGGAGCTGTCTCCATCGTATTAGTGCAAGCAATAGCTGTCATATCCTTCATGCTTCAGGAATCATCTCCTCATGTCAGGTTGTTTGGGATATTCTAAAGTGGCATTTTCTCATAACTGCAGGAGTGACATCTGAACCTACTTTATGCCATTGGTAGTTAGTATTGATTTGAATCTTATAAAGTTAATGAGAAATTTATGTTGAGAGTTTGTTTGTTTGAATCCAATATCGCATTAATCTGTGCTTCAGTAGGGAGCGGAAATGTGAGTGATCCAGACTAGTGGCTGCAAAAAACTGAGTTGCTTCCATTTGTGTTCTCAAGTTTTTCAGTTTTAGCCTGCGTTTTGTTTTAGATGTTGGATTTATGTTTATTTGTGTTCAAGTTGTTTTCATTCATATGTTTGGGGTAAGCAATAATTTTATCAAAACACTGGAGCTCTTTTTGATAATAATTACTTTCACCTTCTCCAGTCATTTTTACTTGAAAGGTCACTAATCATATTTAGGTATCCTGTTATAACTTTAGTGAATTCCTCACTCAAATCCAACTTTCCCATGATTTTGGTGTTGTTGAGTGATGACAGATGACATCTTAGCACAGTTAGATGATGTTTTGTCCAACATGTCAGTCAGCTTCACACGTGATATGGCTGTTGTGTATTTGGAATAGGAGTTGCCCATAGAACTAGATAGTTCAATGGATACCAGAAGCTGGATTTTTGTAGCTCTAATCGGGTCTGAATGGAGCTAGCACAATAAAAGAAAGGTGGCCTTGACATGGGGGTGTAGGCTAGAGATGCAACCTCCATTTCCATTGTCATTGATATTCGTGAAGAATATCCCAGTAGAACATGGTTCTATGTGTCCACCCACTCCAGTTATCAAAGTTAAGACCTGAATAAGAAATCCAAGTTCAAACTAATCTCAGCTTTACGGAAGGTGATCTTGATACTTGGATTCTTTGAGGGCAGGTATGTGCCAAGGTGAAGGTGGGTTAGCAGATAGCAGAAAAGTTTTTTTGAGCTGAGTGACTGTTATGAACTGTGTGAAAGAGCACACTCCCTAGATTGAAAAATTGCAGTAACATAGCAAGGGGCAAAACAGAAGGTAGAAGTCAGGTGCTTCAGAGCGTGGGGTTATAGAACGATATTGTGTGGATCACACCTGATCAGCAGCAAAGGAGCTGGTGCTATACCCTCACAAGTAGAGCCTATCGAAGTGACAGCATGTACAAACAAGGAAAGACCCTAGGCATCAGCAGGTTACAGCAGAGGGAAATGAAAGAGATACTCCCAAGAATACAAAAACAACTAGAAAAGGTAAAACTACCTGGTGATGGTTAAAATCAGTGCAGAAGAAGACTGTAATTCTTTCAGGTTCAGTGATATTCTCCAGACACACGTAGAAAGTTTGATTTTCCCAGACAGGCCTTCCTCGTCCTTGTTGAGGGCAGCCTTCACCCCTTCACAAAGATAATGTGTCTGAGCCTCACAGCATCAATGAGCCTTTAGACGTCAGTGTCCAAAAACCCTGAGCAGTCCTGGCTAGCACACCTAAGGTTTGAGCACTAAGACAGTCCTGGCATTGGAATTGAGGAGTTACAAGGATCAAATGTATTTTCTTCATCCCAAGTATATCATTAGCTAAGAATGATTTCAGGAATGTGAGCAGCTAATGAGCTCTCAATTACGTAGAAGCGATGGGGTCCTTGTGTGTAGGCATAGCTGCCTCACTGTCAATATGTGTAGGCCTCGTGGAATGGTTTCCCCCCTGCAGTCAGGTTATTAAATGGTTGACCTCATTGACCTCTTCACTTATGATGTGAAGTTAGAAGTGTTTAAGACAGTGTTCATTCAGTGGCCCCTCAACTTTAGGATATGCACAATGGGGTACTAAGACAGACCCCCCTCAAAGCAGCTTGTCTGCATAATTGCATGATATGCACCTGCAGTATTTGATAAATACAGGTCCAGATCTTCCAATTAGAGTAGGAACAGAGATAGTAGGAACTGCAGATGCTGGAGAATCCCAGACAACAAGGTGCAGGGCTGGATGAACACAGCAGGCCAAGCAGCATCATAGGAGCAGACATTCCCTTTTTTTGTGTATCAGGATCTGAAGGATGCCCCAATGCTTATGATCTTTATATTGTCAGGAGACTTAGAAGAACTCTGTAGATACATCCCACACTGACCCTGCTGATGAAAACTTGGGCTCAAAGACCTGATTTTGCCCAGAAATTTATACCAGCCTGCCTAAAACTTTAATCACAGATGTGGGATCAGGATTCTGAGTAATCTACTAGGGGCATTTTATTATACAAAATGCATTTTAAAGCAAACTTGCAGAGCAGTTAACAACCAACCAGTCACACCATTCTTTTCTATATTTATATTACATTTAACATTGATATAAATGCATAAAAACAAGTAAAAGTCTTTGAAAGTTAGACATGGTTCAAAAGAACATTTAAGAATGTTTAAAAAACACACAAAAATCACACACCATGAAATTGCAAAGTTGCTGGACCTTAAGGGACATTCTTTCCACTAGCCAATGTCAAAAGGGGAACAGCTTCAGCACTTTAGCAACTTGCTAGTACTCATCATTGTACAGTAAGTCCTTAAAAGCACTAGTGCAAGAAAAAATCAAGACCGCTGACCAGAAAATTTGGGTTTCAGTTTGTTCTGTAGGCGGAATCTTATTGAGCCCTGAACGATATGGGGTATCACGAAAAATCTGGGTAAGTTGTGAAGGACGTCAAATGAAGCATATCTCAATGTCAGGAACAACTAATTGCGGTTTTCAACAGATGTCTGGGCTCCAAGATGTGATTTTCGCTAGGTTCAGCAAGATGATTATTAAGGGGGTTGTTGCTTATTGTTGGCCTCATTAACTGCACATCTTGCCGCATAAGTAGGCTGCCGCCTACCACTTGCCACAAGGAAATGAGAGGCCAAAAACTCTCAACAAGAAAGCCTGAACTGGTACCCGGTGAATCCAGCTCACTTCTTGCTCCTCCGACCCTCTGTCTTGGACACCCAGCAATGAAATCTTGAGGCACACCATAAGACATACACCACACTCACTCCCTGTCCACTGCATTAAATACCTGCAAAACTCTCAGGATCATTATGGCACAGCTCTGATTCACTTACAGTATGCTTTTGCTCTGTGAAGCAGTATTTGGTGCAACAAGCATTGAAATAGTGCTGCAAGGATACTTTGTGCAAAGTGACAAATCCCCAGCTCACAGATTGGACCAAACAGCACTTCAGAATTGCTCACTTGTTCTTTAAGTGCTCACTAACCTTGAGCCAATCTGGAAGTTCCCAGCATCCCTGCTTTGCTTTGCCTTGCCTATTTGTGCTTTACGCATGCAGACACACGCACGCACGCACGCACACATTGTCATGGCCTTCGGCAGTACTCAGGTATATCAAGTGAGACAGTCTACAGTCTGGATGTCCCAGCACAGTAAGTCAGTGGGAGCCACCGTATCAGTCCAAAGGCTTGGACACAGTCAGTTGGCCACATAGGGTTGTCAGGGTCATGCTCCTCTCCTCATGGAGGCTAAGGAACTGAATGTTGGGCAGCCATCCACTAGTCCTCGCTCTTTTTTGCCCTGTTGTGGTTATTTTCTCCTGGAGAGAAGGGGTGGGAATTAGTTAGATGAAAGCAGTTGGCACAGCTGCTAATACTGGTACTGGTGGAGGAAAGGTAGTGACGTCTCCCGAACAAGAGTGTAGGCAGTGCAGAGGCCATGCAGAGGTAAGAGGGTAGTGGAGTTTGAGTGGGTGAAAGCAAGTGAGGAAAGTTACTGCATGCAATGGTGAGAGATGTTTGATGTTGTTAACCTTGGTAGAAGGTTAATGCAGTAACAGAGATAGCGTGCGTGTGGGATAGTAGAGAGGAGATGGTGGCACTTACTGTGGCCAAAGAGAAGGTCATTGACCATCTTCCTTCACTGCTGGGCATTCCTCTAGATGGCTGAGAACACAGTGATCCAGACAGCAACCGAGCAGGGTTGATGGCATGCCAGTCCTGGGAGAAGAGAACATCTCTGCATCGTCACATCCACCGCAATTTCCAAATGCCTGTCCACAAAGTGAGACACCAAGTTTCCCTTAACTACCATGTTTGCAGCAAATGTCACAAACTGTGCAGGGCAACTCCAGACTGACAGTGCTTGCCTGGGTGCACAACAGTCTTTTAAATATTATGAGGGGGTCAGAAATACTGGTCCATTCCTGAACATCCAGGCAACGTTCTTCCGGCTACAGTGAGTAGTAAAATTGAGCTGGCGTCAGAGTTGAGGAGTGCTGTGGGGCGAAGTAGATGGTTTATGTGGGTGAGTTTTGGTGTGATAGTGTGAGAAAGTTCAATAGGCCTCACAGAGGCAAACATTGCATAAAACTCAATAAAATTGACACTTATCCAATAAAGCATGAGATTCAGCCCAATCAGGAGAGAAAACAGAGGACCAGCATTCATTCACTTTATTTGGAACCAAACTTTGAGCCAGGAATGTAAAAATTCAAGGGGATAGGCCATGCTAATTTTTTTTAAAAGATTATTTTTGTGGATGAGGGGTGTTTGCATAAGGTATTTGAAATGCCTCATCGAGAGGCAGCAGGTCAGTTTTTTTTAACCTGCCTTAAATATACTTAACAGCAAGTCAAAAAGCATTCAAATTGGCAGGCACACCACTGGCTGCAGAGGTGGGCTTTTTAAGGAGCTTACTCTAGAATTGGCCATCTGTTCCGATCTTCAATTGTGCAGCAGATCCATCTTGCCTCACTGAGACCTTGACCCTCTCAAAATAATGACTGATCTTTGATTACCAACAGAAGCAGGTTGCCAGTCCGTAATTGGCCCTGTCACCAACAGTAAAACCTGAAATGAGTGCTTTGAATGAGACTTCTAGTGGGCAGATTTGTAGTTATCAATTGGTGAGGCGAGGAGTTGATGACCAGTACCTTAGAATGGCAATATGAGACCAGGGTCCCATTCTAATTTGCTGTGGGCTTCTTCCATGTTTTATGCTTCTGGCCTGTACAATTATTAAAGTTGCCTTCTTTTGGAACAAATGAGTGGTGATCTTTAAGTAACCATGGTGAAAAGCAAGGAGAGAGATGAGAAAGTACCTTAAGCAGTAAATCATACAAAAAGTTGTTAATATTTCGTCAACCAGAAACATTAACTCTGTTTGTCTCTGTACAGATGCTGCTAACCTGCTGAGTATTTAAAACAATTTTTGCTCTAGTGTTAGTCTTCCAGCATCTGAAGTATTTAGTGTAAGATGGCATTTGTGGCAATAGAGCAGGGACTTAGGGTTCCTCTTTGGCTGCAGTAAAGAACTTTCAACTAAAATGGGATTGGAGTTGTGCTAGTTAGATTGCAGTTCAAGTTCATGATCAGAAATGTTAAATTTACCATGAAGCAATTTATTCTATCGAGTTGTTTCTTTTCCTCCCCACATTAAAATGTACACTTGGATGTTTTTAAGAATGTTCACCAGGTGTACTTCTATTAATACAATTGACAACAAGTTTTTCACCAAAATTTATCACTTTTAATAAAGGTATCACTAAGAAACCCGATGTAATTTTTTTCTATTCATTTGTAGGATGTGGGTGTCACTGGCTGCCCATCCCTAGTTGCCCTTGAGAAGGTGGTGGTGAGCTGCCTTTTTGAACCGCTGCAGTCATCCTGCTGTAGGTTGACCACAATGCTATTGGGAGGGAATTCCAGGATTTTTGGTTGAAAATGATAAAAAAATCTATATTGAACAATTTAATAATTTATTACCATTTAATAATTTGTCACTGAAAATGACAAAAAAAACTACATTGAACCATTTAATAATTTAGTTTGCATATACTGATCAGTTTCTTAGTAAATTTGAATATTTCTTGATGAAAAATGTTTAAAGATGTGCCTAGTAAGGTCTGTGTGCATAGGAAAATTGGCACAATTTGAGGAAGCAAATGCAATTGCTGGAATCTCCAAAAAGATCTCAGAAAACACAAACATATTTGGGACTTATTTAAATTTATTCATCCACAGGATGTGGATGTCACTGGCTGGGCCAGTATTTATTTCCCAACCCTAGTTAAGAGTCAACCACATTACTGTGGGTGTGGAGTCACATAGGCCAAACCAGGTAAGGACGGCAGTTTCTTCCTTAAAGAGCATTAATGAACCAGATGTTTGTTTTCAAAAGTTGACAGTGGTTACATGGTCATACTCAGATTCTTAAATCCAGATTTTTATTAGGTTCAAATTCCACGATCTGCCATGGCGGTATTTGAACCCGGGCCTCAGAAATTATAGTCTAGCAATAATAGCACTAGGCCATCACCTCATCCGTGAAATCACATTTAATTCTCTGTTTAAAACACCCTGGTCCTTTTTGCTCATTCAGCTGATTGATCCTGAATTTGGACGCAAAGCAGCTAGAAAATCAATGTTGCATTGTGGGAGTTTAATGGTTTCAACCAGACCGAGGATCCAAATAAAATCACATCAGTTCTGTGGATGTTGAGATATGGGAAATTAAGCTTTAAATTAAGTAAGATGCTTTTATATTATGTAAGATTTTAGGTCCAATAACTTTTCCATTGTCAGTAGCATTTGCTGTTCAAGCAAAAATTGGCTGTGTGTACATAACTAAAATATGATGTGGAGGACCCAGTGTTGGACTGGGGTGGACAAAGTCAGAAGTCACACAACATCAGGTTATAGTTCAATAGCTTTATTTAAAATCACAAGCTTTCAGAGCATAGCCCCTTCGTCAGGTTTAGTGAGAGAGAAGCACACTGACACACAATTTATGGGCAGAGAGATCAAAAGATCATGCAAGTGGAGTGTTGAATAATAAGTCTCTGCGAGTGATCAAAAGTGTCAGTTAGTGTGAGTAAAGTGTCAACAGCTGAATAACAAGTAAAGGGATGACCTATGATCCAATTAAATGAGGCAGAGAGGTAATTACAAAAAATTTAAAATATGGTGCTGCTAGAGACAAACCAAATGACTGGAATAACATGATAAGTATAAGAGTCACATGCTGAGCGTCTAACCAAAGTAATAAGTAATCCAAAACTACAAACTAATTAAGTACAGAGATCACAACAATATATCAAGATGTCAGGACAATAAGGAAGATTTTACAGATTCAGGACAGTGTGGTGGGGTCACATGTAGCACAACATGAACCCAAGATCACGGTTGAGGCCATCTTCATAGGTACAAAACTTGGCTATCAGTCTCTGCTGGGCGATTTTGCATTGTTGTGTACCTTGAAGTCTGTCTTGGAGGACTCTTACCTGAAGATCAGAGGCTGAATGTCCTTCAACATTGAAGTGTTCCCCGATTGGAAGGGATCGGTCCTGTCTGGTGATTGTTGCGCAGTGTCCATTCATATGTTGTCAGAGAATCTGTATGATCTCGCCAATATACCATGCCTCAGGGCATTCTTGCCTGCAGCATATGAGACAAACAACATTTGCCGAGTCACGAGTATCTGCCGTGTACATGGTGGATGGTGTTCCCATGTGTAGTGATAGTATCCGTGCAGATGATCTGACGTCTTGCAGAGGTTGCCGTGACAGGGTTGTGTGGTGTTGTGTTCAATGTTGTCCTGAAGATTGGGTAGTTTGCTGCGAACAATGGTCTGTTTGAGGCTTGGAGGTTGTTTGAAGGTGAGAAGTAGAGGCATAGGGATGATCTTGCCAAGATTCTCATCATCAATGACATGTAAAAGGCTTCAAAGAACATGGTGTAGTCTCTCTGCTCCGGAGAAGTACTGGACGATGAAGGGTACTCTATCAGTCGTATCCTGTGTCTATCTTCTGAGGAAGTTGTTATTCGGCTGTTGACACTCACACCATCTGATACTTTTGATCACCTGCAGGGACGTATTATTCGACACTCCACTTTTTAAATTTTTTGCTCTCTCTTCCTGTAAGTGCTATGTCTGTGTGCTCTCTCACACTGCACCTGATGAAGGGACTGAGCTCCAAAAGCTTGTGATTTCAAATAAACATTTTGGGCTATTACCTGGTGTCGTGTGACTTATAACTAAAATAATCATACACCTGAGTAATTTTGATTTAGAAATTGTAACAATAGTGAGTGGGATTCAGTCATTAAATGCTGCAGTTTTCTATCAACTGAAACACAAACGTTTTAAAAGGCATAATAAAGTACAACACAACAGCTTTGTGAATGAAGAAAATATCTTCCTGATTGGTAATTTACTTGTCAAGATATAAAGCTTAACAGTGAGCAAACAAAAAATGTCATTTGTATGTGTTTAATCTGCCAATCTTATATAGTTGAAAAAGGGAATTGCTCAGAAATGTTCTTTGTGTAACTGTCACAAGAAGTTTAGTCACTTCCTGCTGCTTGGTTTTTGTCAAAACCCCTTCCCTGCTGTAAAAGAATCAGTTATGGTCCAGTTTTCTTTTAAACTGATTTCTACAATTTATTGCTAGGATAACATTTCCATTCAGAGTGTCATTTCGCCACTTGTTAAGTTGAATGCTGCCAGAAGTTCAAATATATATTCAGATGTATCTTTCTAAGTTATGAGAATCATTGTGTTCTTAAAATCTGTCTTGTATATTTTAGGGAAGTAAATACAGATGAGGACAAACTGCCACCAGCCTCTCTCCTTCCTTCCCTTCTCCTCCGTTCCAACTACCCTAACCCACTTTGAGATTAACTGTCCTGATTATCTATTAAATTTTGTTTCACGTTGAATTATT